TCGATTCAATCAGGTTTTGAGTGTGTCTGGATATAATTTGTCCGGATATAGTGAGAAAAAGTGAATATTAAGTTTATATATGTGTATGAAGTTAATGAATAACATGATCACTAGATGAATTTTGGTCCAAAAAAGTGAGAAATTGTGATATATCAAGTTCATCCTCTCCTACAATAAAATTACTTTTAACGAATGTGATATTTGATTATGAAATCAAAAAATAATATAATAAAGGACAATAATATTGGTATATGAATTGTTTGTGAAATTTTTTTGTAATAAAGACATTTTTATGATTGTTTAGTTATGAATATTATTTAAATAATAAAATGTTGGTGGATATCCATCATAAAAACAAAATTATGTTAAACAGGTGCATGTAAAATACCTAAGAACCCATTTTCTTTATGATATGAAAATGAATAACAAAAGTCATTGTTGAAAAAATATATATATATACAAAACACTGTAATTGAAAAATAAAGTAATAAAATTAAGAGTTTTGTGTAGTATAGATAATATGTAATAGGTTTTTTTAAGTGTAGAAAAATTAGAAGAATTCAAATAGGAATTAAATAATGAATATTGTTATCACACTTTAGTATAAAAAAACGTGAATAATGTAAACGAAATAATCTTATTCGTGGAATTATTTCTCTATTTAGTTGTTGATTAGTGAAATATTTAAAAGGTTTTCTTATAAAAAGAACAAAAAGAAAACATCTTTATTATCCATAATCTCAAATGAAACCTTTAACATAAAATAAGAAGTATGATAGTAGAAAATATATAAAACAATTGTTTAATATGTATATAAAATAATATTATACTTTGAAATAACAAGTAAAATAATATAAAATAATAGTATTGAATTTGTCACACCATAAAGTACATTATTACTTTTTGTGTTAACCATTTGAGTCCAGTTGTTACAAGTTTAATAAAACCAATTATAATATTCTCAATTATTTTTTGAATGGTTGCAAGTGTTATTACCCTCTCAACATGTAAGAATCAAATGAAATAATCAAAATATACGTGTTACAAATTTTTTTTAATTGGAGGTAAAAAATAGTTAAAAAATTTAATTTTCTTTCTTTCTCTTGTTTCAGTTATGGTTCTTTTAAGATTAGGATAAAAAAAAATTGCATTCATAAATGAATGTGTAAATTGACTTGAGGATTGTATTAAGCTTTAAACTTGATTTAAGGGTCTTCAAGGATTTTAAATGTAAGTAAAAATAAGTTAGAAAATGAAGTCATAATTTGTAATTAAATTGTTGAGTATAAAATTTATAATTGAGATCTACAGATTCATAAATACAGTTGTTTCTTGTATATTTGGATTTATCATCACATATGTTGCAGTCCATGCATTGCTTGGAGCTAACCCAACAAAATGTATATGTTGGTAGGAATTGAACCATGCACTTTATGTTTTGTGGACAAACCACTTGACTATCAAACCATATTAATCTATGATTTTGGTAGTAAGATTATATGGTTTCTACTACTACCTTTTCTTTATTGATTTAATTAGCGTATTTAAATCAACTTTATTTACATATTATCTTATTAGTTATTGTGCAATTTGTCATTTTATTTTGTTATTAATCTACATTACTGTAATTTTAGATTATTAAACCCTTTATTTTTGTTTCTTTTGTTGGTTTAGTTTGTTTTCAAAATTAGTCTTAATTATTATCAATGTTTGAAAATGTGATTGCGGTTACGATTGCAATGTTAACGGGGAAAAGGTAAAATATAAAAAATAAAATTAGATTTGACATATTTTTGTCACTTGTCGCATGTACAATACTTTAGAACACAATTCAAAAAGTTGCAAAGGAGATGTGTGTCAAAAATATGAAGATGAAATTGATTTTTTTTTTTTTTGTATATATGGCTACAACAATTATTTTAATCATGTTTATTTCTTTATGTCATGACATTGGATTAAGGTGAAGAATGTTCTTACCTTGAACGAATAGGAGTAATAATTAGTGTTGTTAAACAATGATAGAAGTCAAAATAAAAGATGTTGCATATTATAAAAATAGGATATAAGAAAAAGCGGTATTTGAATCGATTGATATGTAATAACATGTAAAACATTGAATTGAGAATTATGAATTATACTTAACTTTCACATCATTTTTTGTTTAAAGTAATACAAAATTTTATTTCTTATAAATCGTAGTTATACAAAATATATTTATTTATTTTTTATGAACAACACAAACTAAAGTACTACTTAAAAAGAAAAAGAAATATAATGTTAATTTTTTTATTTTCTCTTTAATCAAAAATAAAATACATTGTTACACATTCCTTTATTTCCTTCTCATCATGCAAATATATAATATAAAATTTGTTGGGTTAAGATATTAAATAGGAAATATTAAATAAAATTAATTATTAAACTAGTTGATAAATATAAATTTATAATAATGTTATATTAATTTTTAAAATTTTATTTTATAAATAAAAATATATTTTATGCAATTATAATTTTAATATTTTAAATACTTTTAAATTTTTATAAATAAAATAAAATAATTTATTAAAAGTTACTAAAATGTTATAAAATAAAATAATATATTAACTAAATAATGTCTTTCATATCATAATTTAACCTAATCAACTAAATTTTCTTTAGAACTAAATATTGACCCTATATTAGTTTAAAGAACCACCAATTAATGAACTACCTAATTTAAAGCATAACAAAGGTCATTCATCAAGAAACTATAATATCATTAAATAAGCACAAATATTTAACATAATTCAATAGCCTAAATATTAAATAATCACATCATTAATTATCAACAAAAAAAAACTCACAATGTAACTACTTAATACACTCTTCATCAATTTTTAACATCACAATTCACCCATCTCTCCCAAAAAAAAAAAAAATACTTGATCACCAAAAAAAATAAATACATACTTTCACACACACACACAATATATATATATATATATATATATATATATAT